AATGAACCCGAGTTTGCAAAGAAGCTTGCCTCATTGGCTGATCTCTATGTCAATGATGCATTTGGCACTGCACATAGAGCCCATGCCTCAACTGAGGGGGTTACGAAATTCTTGAAGCCATCTGTTGCTGGTTTCCTTTTGCAGAAGGTTGGATAACTCTGTATAGTTGTCTCTGATCTTTCCCCTCTGGCCATTTTCACAGAAGCCTTAAAATAAATCAAAATTTCAACACTCATGCATAACACATTTTATGATTTATTGCTAAATCGATATTTTTAAACCTGGCCTGCCTATGCGGCTAGAGCAGGGGTTACTGGTTAATAGGTTGAACAGATTTGTAAGTAACATTAGAACCATGGAATGATATGACCCAATCCTTAAACTCCATTTGTATGGTTACAGAAAAGAGCATGAAAAGGATAAAAGACTGAAGATAGCTGCCAAACTGTATTTGTAACTTCCCTTCTATTCATCATAATTTTGTAACAACAAAATATTTAAAAATGTTGAATTTATCATTTTGCATTTGCATATAATGGAGCCTGAAGAGAGTTTTTGAACTAAATTGGCAGATGAAAAGAATTATGCTTCATATACTTGTGGAGATTGGGTCCCCTTGAAATCATCTTTTGGTATATGAAGTTTAGTGGATGAATGTCTTCATCATATCTCTATTGCTCCACTAGTTATGTCTCTCTTCGCTTTGATCTTTTTTTTTTTATTTATTGTATTAGGAACTGGACTACCTTGTTGGGGCAGTTTCAAACCCAAAGAGGCCATTTGCTGCCATTGTGGGTGGTTCCAAGGTCTCATCCAAGATTGGAGTGATTGAGTCGCTTTTGGAGAAGTGTGATATCCTGCTTCTTGGTGGAGGAATGATCTTCACATTCTACAGGGCACAAGGTATTTCTGTGGGTTCATCTCTAGTGGAGGAAGACAAGCTTGATCTTGCAACTTCACTCCTTGCCAAGGCCAAGGCTAAAGGAGTATCTCTTCTGTTACCCACTGATGTGGTAATTGCCGACAAGTTTGCTCCTGATGCAAACAGCAAGGTTCGTTCCTTGAGCTCCAGTTGGAATTTCATTTTGCTCAAGTTTTATTACTTTTGGCATTCAAAATCTTTATGTCCCTTCACTGGCAATGGAAAACCTATCATTTTGTTTGATTAAAACTGACAGTCTGATGGTAACCATCATTCCACAAACTGGTGATCTCTATGATTTTGTTTTACTACACTAGTTGGTACGCAATAATATTTTACTTCGGTCATTGCAGATTGTCCCAGCAACTGGCATCCCTGATGGCTGGATGGGATTAGATATTGGACCGGACTCTATTAAGATATTTAATGATGCTTTGGACACTACCAAAACTGTTATTTGGAATGGACCAATGGGAGTGTTTGAGTTTGTCAAGTTTGCTGCTGGAACAGAGGTGTGCAATAATTTTCTTGCTTGTTTCTTTGGTTTAATTTATCCAAAAATGGATGAATCATATTGTGTATCTGCTTTCTACATGTGCACATAATGATGCATGTGAAAAAATTCATATGCCTTGGGGGGATGACAATGGGGTTGGGTCTGGGACAATATGGTGCCACTTTTATGCCTAACTTACCCAAGAAAGTCTTGGCTGGGAATTACTGAGAATTTGCTTTTATTTATGTTTGGTTTTATTCATCTTACCCTCAAATTGAATGCAATAGATAAACTTTGCATTAAGTGAAGAAAACTTGATCATGCATTGAACCGAGTCCAGTTTTAACCCATACAAATCGTTGGGCTATGTTATGCAAAGAGCCCATCAGAAGAGGGAGAAATAGTAAAGATTACTTGATTTACCTGCTCCCATTGCAATCCCTATATTTCTGCTTGGTGAGTTAAAGTTTGTAACTGCTATTGCAGGCAATTGCAAAGAAGTTAGCTGAACTCAGTGGGAAGGGAGTGACAACCATAATTGGAGGTGGTGACTCTGTTGCAGCTGTAGAAAAAGTAGGAGTCGCTGATGTGATGAGCCACATATCAACAGGTGGTGGTGCCAGTTTGGAGTTGTTGGAAGGCAAAGAACTCCCTGGTGTCCTTGCTCTTGATGAAGCCACACTAGTTACTGCTTAAGACAAGTTCCATACGATTTTTTCCCCCCACCCATCCATCCCCTTATTGACATGTCAATTCGGGCTTGTAAACGAGAAATGTTGTAGCCGAATACGAGTTCGTGTAGTTGGTTTTCACCGTTGCCATCAATGTAAGGTCCCATTTACCCTGTTTTCCTGACCCCTCGTTCACATTAAGGATGGTAAGAAATGTTTTAATGGCAAGAAACCTTTTCTAGTCATTAATAAATTGGGCACCCTCTCAGCCTGTCAGCCCCACCACCTGAAAACCTTGTTTTTTCCAAATTAAATTTGTTTGCCGTGTCTTTTGTTTTTGGGTTTAAATCTGTTAAGCTTGTAAGTAACATTACAACCATGGAATGATAATGACCCAATCCTTAAACTCCATTTGTATGGTTACAGAAAAGAGCATGAAAAGGATAAAAGACTGAAGATAGCTGCCAAACTGTAGCTTTCGGTTGAGGAACAAGGTGAATTTAGAATGTTCTTCATTCAGTTTGCTCTCTCAATCATGGAGGAATTCAATTGTGATAATATATGTTATATGGTTTAAAAACTTTCAATACTGGGCTACAGATTGATGGCCATATCAACCCAACATTGGGTGAAAAATATTTTATTTGATGAGGGAGATTATCAGACTAGTACTTTCTTTGCAGTATCTGAAATTTTAGATCATATGGTAATTCAGACATACTGTATGCATAAAAATTAATCTGTTTGGTTTGGAGGATATGGCATGACTTCCAGAGCTAGCTTTGTCTACTTGCAATGTTGGGACTGACAGAGGAAACATTGGTTAGGTTAGGTTAGGCTAAGCTATGCATAATCACAACTCCTCCGAGTTGATTGGAAAGAAGCATAACCCGATTGAGACAAGTGATGACTTTCTCTATCGAGTAAGGATCCTCTAGAGTTTTTTTCTTTAAAATTTCCTAGAGTAGTGCATTGTGTGGTTGAGATTTAATAACAAGTTATATCAATTTTTCAACATTAAATGTCAGTCACACAATATATCACTTTAGGAAATTTTAAAAAAAATACACTCTAAAGGATCCTTGGTGTTCTCTATCTCCCTCGCCCTCTCCGTCCAAAGGTCACACAGGCACGTCCTCTAACAATTTCAACTATGGCAGCACGGGAGAATTTATATTAATTAAATTATGTGGACATAGGTGGAAATTCGTGACAATAAACAGGTGAATCACGATATTTCATTTTTGCCCACGAAAATGAGCATGTCATACGTTGACCGCAACTCAACTGCCTCTGACTTTTTTCTTTTCTTTTCTTTTTTTCAATTATATAAATTATTAATATTTAACAGATGGTTTAATTAGCTTACCATAGAAAATGAAAAAAAATAAATACAAATCACCTATGTCAATCAGTTGAAATAATAATAATAACAATTATACTATGTGTTTTAAACGTAAAATATTAAAAAAAAAAAAAGAAAAAAAACTGTCAAAGTGAAGAAAATAAATAACTATATCAATCAGTGGATTATGTTTTAGCGTTTCTTCTCATTAAACGAGTCTCACAAATCACCAATAAATCAGAGAGAATATACTAATAGGATATGCTTTCTATGCTCTAAGGATGATATTTCCCAAAGGTTCAACATCCAAATAAGTAGGTGTCGAAAAGGAAAACTATAGGGATAAAAAAATATGACACTAAGTCCACCGTAAAACAAAATTACAAATTGTGTACTATATAATTTGAAAACCAAAATTCTCATTTTAAAATAAAATAGTATAAAATAATAATCATTATATTTATATGCAGGCATAATAAGTTTGTTAATCATTATTTAATTTTGGGGTAAGCATGATTCGAATTGATTTAATTTGAAATAAAACTAGGACTAATTTGTTGTTTACGGTTCTATAAAAATTAGAACCAAAACAATATATTTAAATTATAGAATCAATCCGAATTAAATCCTTTAAACACGATTCAACTCGCTTTGGGATTACAGTTTCACATAATCTGTTCATAAGAATAATCATATAACATTTTAAAAAAAATTCTATCTATCGTAAATTTTAAAAATAGTAATAACATATCCATCAAATAAAAACATAACATTCAGCAAACATTGTCTAACATTAATCTATGATTTTTATTATTACATTAATCTGAAACGTTATGAATTAGGATTTGGTTTGTCACGCCGCGAATTTTAATTACTCGAAAACATTACCAAAGCCTGTAAATTTAGGTTCATATTTTTTTTTTTTTTTTACATATACAAATATCTATTACACTTGAGTAATAGGAATACAATGATACATGTTCTTTCTCTCTCAATGAAAATTACAATGTCAACAATACATGCCAATCTCCTACTGTGAAGTTACAAATGAATAAAATACAAATACAGGATCCATTACATCTACAGTGAAATTACATATAAAAGACACATGGACTTCTTAACTCTTCAATTAAAGAATCCAAACTTTCTTCTTATAAAAAGGTAAAACAACAACGGGGTGAGCACTAATGCCCAGTAGGAATCTCATGGTTCTTAATCAATAACTAATACACAGATAAAAATGATCATGCATGTAGGGTGATACCATATAGTAGAGTGACGTTTTATAACTTCAAAATATCATAAGTAGAGTACCTTTTTCTCAAAACTATTTGAACACTTTTAAGAAAAACCTTCAGCCATTAAAATTCATCCCTTAACTTTAGAAAACCATAGATCCTTGTGAAACGAACATGTTTAAGAAACAACATCATTTATAAATTATTAACCAATTCCCAAAATATTCCCCATTTCATTTCCATTTTTTCCCTTATTCTATTTCCAATCACTATAACTACATAATGTCAAGATCCAATTTCCTTTATGTTCAAAAAGACAATCCTCATACACTCAACTCCAACTTGCCCAACAATTACCTCACATTAACGTTTGCATTACTAAATAGAATACAATCCCTTTTTAATTCAATTCCTCTATTATTTATAAAACAAAACTCATAATCTTCCATTTTAATCACAAGCAATCCATTGAGTGTATCAACACCAATCCCTAATCCAGTTACCATTTCATTTTCCATTCTTTCAATTAATCTCATATCAAATACCGGATTCAATCACAAGTCATCTCCATGACTCACACGCTTTATCAATCACAAGCCGGAAGGAACGCGGAACCTCACGCTTTACCGGTCACAAGCCGAAAGGATCGCGGAACCTCAACATATCACACGCTTTACCGGGCGTTACTCCGGAAGAAAGGCGGAACCTATCTCAAGCGCCACGCTTTGCCGGCTCAAATACGGCGGGAAACGGATCCCAAGATAACATCACAATCCATCATTACAATTAGTGGACAATGCCAACACATCTTCCATTATTTTCGTAACACATTAATTTAATATACATCCACCATTATTAAAATTACATTCACATAACAAGTACAAATATGTTCTACGACCTTCTTCATTATTCATTAAATCATTCATTGTTTTGTCACACAAAAATATAACAACACATCCATAGAGGCAAAGACTCATCTTTAAAGTATTCACAATTTTTGGGTTCAAACTATTTCTTTACTTTTCCATATTATCATCAAGTCTTCAAATTCAATTTTTTAAACACATTGATTATCAATTACTACCCATAGTTATAAATTAAATCTCCAACATTTAATTTTCTTTGATACAACTCCCTTCATATAACATCGTCATATTTCACAATCTCTCATTTATCATTATTCGCACTTATCTTAACCCAACATAGACTTGGCCAAGTTTGGAAAGACTAAATAAGTGCACTTTTTGACTTTTTATGAAATATGAATTGAATTTGAATTGGGTTTGAAGTGATGTGTTAGAGAGGTGATGTGACTTAAATAAGGTGATGTGACTTAAATAGGATAGTGGCTTTTTGACTTTTTGAATTTTTTGAAGGATGCCAAACTTAGCCTTAATTTCATAAATTTAATGTTGATTGAAGTATCCTCATTTTCCAAAATAAAACTTCATAACTAGAGTTAAATATAAAGTTGGGCTTTTTGTTTTGAGGTATAAAATCACTTTCTAATTATACAATAAAATTCTTAAATTTTCACTTCATCATCATATCACAAATTTCGTATCATCTTTCAACTCTCCCCGCGGGTACCACCACAACACTACCCAACACAACTCATCTCAAACTCAACATGACCCAACATAACACAACTCAAACTCAACACACCCAACACAACTCAACTCAACAGAATTCAACATGATTCAAACACAATTCATCATAGTCCAACACAATTCGGTTCAACATTATTCAACACAACTCAACATAATCAACAACACTATTCAACATAATCAACACTATTCAACATAGTTCAAGATGAACTCTTACACCTTTATTTCATCATTTCACCCCAAGGCTCATGTCATCCATATCATTAATAAATCATTTCCCCAATCTTCATTTCACATTATAGCATAATTTACAATATCTATAACAAAGGTTCAATCGCTAATTTTTAACATAATTTTCAAATACTTCCAAAATCCAATTAAACTTGTATATATATAATTCAACCTACCAATTTCATGATTCTACTTTCAATTTGGGCAAAATTATTGTTTATCATCATGAATCAACTTAGGGTTTTCAAGAAAATCAAAAATTTCAAAAAAAATTCAAACTTCTTAAACTACTACTCTTTATTCCAATCTTCCCATTGATTAAACACCTAAGGTTCATAATTCACCTTATTAACCTAACAATTGAACTCCCAACACTTCAAACCCTAAATCCCCAAAATCATGATGTACACTATATGCTAAAAAATGTGAGTTTTATATGTATATACTCAAAATACCACAAATCTATCTATTTATGGAAGTCTTGAAGGAGAATTAGGACCCCTACCTCAAGAATCAAGCAAATGAGCAAAGTTTTGATGAGATTCTTCCACAAATCCGAACTTCAATCGGTGGAAAAGTATGATCTTCAAGCCTTCTTCATTTCTTTGTAAGAGATCTTAATCAATCCTTAGGGAAATGGAAGGTATTTGAGGTCAAAACCCTTGGGTTTTCGGACCTAGGGTGAGAGGGATGAAGAAGAAAAAGGAAAATGCAAAGAATAAGCTAAAAATCACGATTTTAAGCTGCTGAATTCGCACAGTCCGCTCGAGCTTCGATTTTCCCGCTCGAGCGTACCTGCTTCCAGCATAGATTTCAAAATTTCAAAAGGGCATAACTCTCTCATCCGGACTCCGTTCTAGGTCGTTCTTGTGTCCAAATCGAAGCCCCGGAAATAAGCTTTCCAATGGTTTTAGCCTCACATCCAAATTCAAAGTATGGAAAAAGAAAAGGGAAAAAAGGTGACGGCCGGTCAAAAACTCAAACTCAAAC